TTTGGTTATTCTAAGGAAATTGCCATCAGTTCTGATCTTCTTTGGTGGCTTTTGCTTTTATCAGCATTGGGTGTTAAATTTTGTTTCATTATTTTTGTATCAACATTTCTTATATTAATCATAAAGATTTTATCCATATGTATTTAAATAGTGAATTAATGGATTTTCTAATGTTGAGCCATCATTGTATTCCTGGAATAAATCTTACTTGGTTATATTATTGTCTTAATGTAGTTCTATTCTGTTTGTATATTTTATTTAGGAATTTTGCACTGATATTTATGTGTAAGACTGGTCTGCAGTTTTCCTATTTTGTATAATCTTAAATGCATTTTTACATCAAATTTATACTGAATTTATGTAAAGAATTTGGAAGCTTTTCATTTTCTATGCTTGGGAAGAATTTTCATAGTGTTGGGATTGTCTGGTCTTTGAAGGTTTGGTAAAATTCCTCTGTGAAACTTTTCTGGGTTAGTTCTTTGATAACTTTATTTCTTCTATCTAATCTGATTCTGATTAAGCTTTTTATCTTTGGTGAGGTGAGTTTTTTTTTATTTGTACAAATTTATGGGGTACATGTGAAATTTTGTTACATTTATATAATGTCATGGTATTTAGGGTATCCATCATCCAAGTACAATACATTATTATTAACTATAGTCACCACACTCTGCTATCAAACAGTGAGGTTATTCCTTCTGTCTAACTGTATGTTTGTATCCTTTAACCCACTTCCCTTTGTCCTTCCCCCTCCCTCACATTTGCCCTTCCCCGTCTCTGTTATCTATCTTTCTATTCTCTCCTTCCATGTGATCAAATTTTTTGGCTCCTATATATAAGTGAGAACATGCAATATTTGTCTTTTTGTGCCTGGCTTATTTCACTTAAGACAATGAACTCCAGTTCCATCCATGTTGCTGCAAATGACATGATTTCATTCTTTTGTATGTTTGAATAGTATTCCATTGTGTATATATATACCACATTTTCTTTAGCTGTATTCGAAAAGGGTGTCATTTCCCCAATGTAAGTTCTTATAGGCTTTGTCGAAGACCAATTGGCTGTAAATATGGGCTTTGTTACTGGGTTCTCTATTCTGTTCCATTGGTGTATGTGTCTATTTTTATACCAATACCATTTGGCTGTAAACAGTGTTAGTGGTCTCTGTGATTTCCTCAGTGGCTTAGGGTGCAGTTATTAGTGAAGACTGTCATGAAGTTGTACTGGGGACTGGGGTGCCAGGTGGGCCAGTCTTCAGGCCCCAGTGGTGGCAGCTGTGGGCTGAGCATGTCTAACCTTGTGCCCCAGGGTGGTGTACACTGGTATTGGTGGTTACCAGTGGGCTGATTCTTGAGCCTCTAAGTGGCTTGCTTGCTTGGATGCTGGTAGTGGACCAGGAGAGTGGGCAGGTTCTTGGGGTCCTGGCCGTCGGCATGGTGTGGACATGGTACTAGCAGTAGTGAGATGATTCTCTGGATCCCAAGCAGTGTGCTTTGATGTTAGCAGTAACTGCAATGGGCTGGACAGGCCAGTCTCCAGACCTACAGGTGGTGCTTGTCGGGAGGTGCCTGCTGAGGTGGTGTCCAGGAATTTAGGCCCAACCTTATTGCCCCCAGGAGGAGTGCTTAGGAACCCAAGGTGGTGGATTGGGTTGGGCAATCCACAGGACCCTGGGCTATGTACTCTGTCTTGGAGAGGGTGCTGAAGCTGGCCTGGGTGTGATTGTACTCAGGCCTCCAATGGTGAGAGCAGGCACTAGCTGTGGTGGTTGGGGTAGGGAAATCCCCAGGCAGAGTGCTTAGGTGAGAAGTGGTAATAGCACTGCCACTGGAGAGAATGGTGCTGGCCTTGGTAGTCACAGCCTGGGCTGGCAGGTGGGGGACACATGTCCCCTTCACACCCAATCCTGGTGGAGCTTGCTCCCAGTCCTGGTTGCAGGAGCCCCTCTTAGCTTGCAGCCAAGTCCCAGCAACAACTTGCCCATGACCCACATCCCAGTCTCAGTCTGGTGGCTCTCACTTCCCAGCACCAGCAACTGCAGCCCATACTTCACCCACTTCTCAGCCCGGGCTGCAGAAGCACTCCCAGCTCATGCCCCAATCTCAGCAGCAACAGCCTGAGTTTCCCTAATGCCTTAGTCCTGATGCCTGTGGGCCCCAGGACAGCATGCAGTCTGCCAAAAGATAGGATTGAAAATGGTGCTTTGCTATAGTCACTTAAGTCTCAGAAAGGATGTGGGATCCAACACAAGCTCCCTCCCTGGAGCAATTCCATCCCAAGGTCTCTCGGCAGCCCCCTATGGTAGTTTCAGGGCTTAGGAGGATTGAGGGGCTCTCCTGTGGCCAGGATTGCCTGATTCCACAGTGGGGATGTGGCCACTGGAAGTCTTTCACTCACTTTCCCCGTTCCATGGAAGTCACTCCCAGCTCCCAGTCAATCCTGGACAAGCAGGCTGCCTGTCTTCCTTTTCCTTTCTTGCTTTTGGTGTTTTCTCTCGCTTTTCTGGTGAATTACAGTGTTCCTTCTTGGACAATGTTTTCAAAGTATGATTGTCTATACACTATTTTGGTTCTTCTAAGCAGAGGGAGGTGAGCATAAAATGCTTCTGGTCAGCCATCTTGAAGCTCCTTCTGAATTTTTAAAAATTGTGTTTTCTTAAGACAGTATCCATTTTTTCTAGGTTTTTAGATTCATTTGCACAGAGGTACATAGCTCTTTTAGGATTAAAAAATTTTTAAAAAAAATTTTAGTGCTCATTGTCCCTTGTCACATTTATGGTATATATTTGTATTTTATCCTTTTTGTTTAGGACAAATTTGTCTAGTTTGTCTATATTTTGGTACTTTTTAAAGAACTAACCAAGATTTTAATTTTATTAATTAGACATACTGTTATTCTATTCTCAACCTTCTAATTTCTGCTTTTATCTCTATTATTTCCTTCATGAAGCTTAATTTTGCTTCATTTTCATGTTATTTTCCTAAATTTTTGAGTTGAGAATTTATTTTCATTTTAGAAAACTTTATTGATATCAGTGTTTAAAGCTTTGAATTTTCCTCTCTTCACTACATAATGTATCCCATAGATTTTGATGTGTGGTTTTTGTTACTTTTAGATATTCTGTAATTTTGGTTTGTGTTTCCCCTTCCCTCAAGAGTTGCTTAATAGAAGTTTTTGTTTTTAATTTCAAAGATGGAAGATCTTTTATTACTATTAATTTTTAGTTTTATTGCATTTTTATCAGAGATTGTTATTTGTGATATTTCTACTTTATGGGATTTGCTGATTTGTGACTTGATATATGATCAGTTTTTATTGCATTTTTATCAGAGATTGTTATTTGTGATATTTCTACTTTATGGAATTTGCTGATTTGTGACTTGATATATGATCAGTTTTTGTGAATGTTTCATATGGGCTTGAGAAAAAGGTATAGTGTCTATGACTAGGGTGTACATTGATATTTATATCCTTAAGATCTGCCTTATTGATCTAAGTCTTCTATAGTCTTAATTTTTATCCACTTGGTCTGTCTCGTTCTGAAAGTAGTAACTCCTGCTTTTAGTATGTTTCTGTTTCTTCTTGCATTTCCTGTACTCTCTGCTTTATGTAGGTGTTTGCTTATAATTCGTTACATAGATGTTTATAATGATTATATATTTTTTGTGGATTGTGGATTTTAGCATTTAAAAATGTCCTTTGTTATGTTTAATGTTTTTTGATTTTTGGCTTGAATTCTGAGGTCAGGCTCTCAACCTCTGCCTTCTTATTGTTTCTATTTGTCTGGTGTACCATTACCTATCCCTTTACTTTTAGCCTTTCTGAATCACTTTGTTTTAGATGTATTTCTTGCATACAACGTACAGCTGGATCTTGCTTTGTAAGCCAATCTGAAAAAAATTTTTATTTCAGTAAGCCTTTTTAAAGACTAATCATGTTTTTTGATTTGGGTGATATGTTTGTTCTGAATTCTGACATGTTGTTTTATTCTATAATTATTATGTATATTATGTTGCAGTGACTTCTGACACCAACTACCCAGAGTTGGGCTGAACTTCATGGGTTAAGGGCACAGTCTTCCACAAGACTGCCCTAACTTCAGATAACAGCCATAAACTCGAGGGTTCCCAGGGCTACCCTCACTTCTGACCAACTGCCTACAAATTCAAGGGTTCTCATTATCCACTTAGCTTTGATAATTTGATAGAATGACTCATAGAACTCAGAAAAGTGCTATACTTGTGATTACAGCTTTATTATAGCAAAAGGATACAATTAGAACCAGCCAAAAGGAGAGAGCATAGTGTGAGGTATGGGAGGGTCCAAACCATGAAGCTGCTGCTGTTCACCTTCATGTCACCCTCCCAGCACATTGAGATGCACAATATGCAAAATATTCCTGGCCAGGGAAGCTCACCTGAGATTTGGTGTCTAGAGTGTTGAAGTAAAGTTTCATTACATAAGTGTGATTGATCAAATCATTGGCCAAAAGTTTGATCTCAATCTCCAGACCCTCTCTCTTACCCAGAGGTTGGGCTGCTATCATGTGGCTCAAAGCTTGAACCCTCTGCTATGGTTTGAATGTTTGTCCCCTTCAAAACTCATGTTCAAATTTAATTGCCATTATAACAGTATTAAGAGGTGGGATCTTTAAGAGGTGATTAGGCCATGAGAGCTCCACCCTCATGGGTGGAATTGGTGCCATTATAACAGGGTGAGTTTGGCCCCCTTTTGCCCTCTCTTGCTCTTCTACCTTCCACCATGCGATGGTACAACAAGTAGGCCTCCACTAGGTGCCAGACCATTGATCTTGGACTTCCCAGCCTCCAGAACTGTGAGCCAATAAATTTCTGTTTACTATAAATTACCCAGTCTCAGGTATTCTGTTATAGCAGCAAAAATGGACTAAGACACCCTCTAAAAAACATGGTAGGTTTTTCTGGCCTGGCCAGCCCTGTCCTGAGTCATTTTGCTAGCTTAAAACTGTATAGGGGCCCACCATGAGTCACTTCATTAGCATAAACCATCAGGTATTACCATGAATAACAGACACTTCTATCAGCTGGGAGTTGTAAAGTTACGTTGTTGATTTGAGATCTTTCTTCTTTTTTGATGTGCATATTTACGGCTATGAATTTCCCTCTTAGTACTGCTTTCTCTTCATCCCATATGTTTTGGTGTGTTGTGTTTTCATTTTCATTTGTCTTAAGGTATTTTCTAATTTCCCTTATGATTTCTTCTTTGACCCATTGGTTGTTTAGGAATGCGTTGTTTAGTTTCCATGTATTTGTGAATTTTCTAGTTTTTATTCTGTTATCGATTTCTAGTTTCATTCCATTGGTGACTGGAAAAGATATTTTGAATGCTTTTAACGTTTTTATTGAGACTTGTTTTGTGGCCTACCACGTGGTCTATCCTGAAAGTATTCCATGTGCACTTGAAAAGAAGATGTATTCTGCTGTTATTTGGTGAAGTGTTCTATATATGTCTATTAGGTGTAGTTGTTGTTCAAGTCTTCTTTTCCTTTATTGATCTTCCATCTAGGTGTTCTATCCATTATTGAAAGTGGTGTATTGAAGTCTCCAACTGTTATTGTAGAACTGTTTATTTCTCCCTTCCATTCTATCCAATTTTGCTTCATATTTTTTTGGGCTCCATTGTTTGGTGCATATATGTTTATATTTGTTATATCTTCTTCATTAATTGACCATTTTATCAATAGATAATGTCCTTTGCCTCTTGTAACAGTTTCTGACTTAAGGTCTATTTTGTCTGATATTAATATAGCCATCCCAGCTCTCTTTTGGTTATCATTTGCATGGAATATGTTTTTCTATCCTTTTACTTTCATCCTGGTTGGGTTTCTTTGGATCTAAAATGAGTTACTTGAACACCAAAAGCTAAAAAACAAACACAAACAACAAACAAAAAAGTAAAACACCTCTTCCAGTCTTTGTAGATTGGTTCCATGCTGAGGCACTCCATCAGCATTCAGCTGTGCTTGTGTTGAGCCTATGGGTCAGCGTGAGTGAAAAATTAGTCTTCTTAGGTCTTTTGTGAGCATTTGACCTGTCCTGGGCATATACACAGCTTTCTAAATTCCCCTGTACATAAGTACTTTTGAATGTCCTAATTTCCCAAAGAATTTCTCCTTCTTGTCAGGCCATAGGCATTCAATTATATGTCTGGCTATAATCTTTTGCCCCAGGCATCTGTGTATTTATTAGTTCGCCTTGCAGCCTGTTAGAACAATGCCTACTGCTTGTCCATTCTGAGTTCTGAGTTCTGTTCTTAGGTAAAACAGAGACAAGCACCTTGCATCAGTCCTTCTGGTAGTCCTTCGACAGGTTAGAAAAGACCTACGTTAATTTATGAATAAGGTCTGTTCTACACGCTCTGGTACCAGGAACCAGGATCTCATACTGGGAACATTGGTTGCTGCTGGTTCAAGACTTCTGCTGCATATTGGAGGGGGTGAGGCAAGGGCAAGTAAAAAATGCCACAAAGTTTTCCTGCCTTCTTTAAGTTGCCTTTTTGTTGATTCTATGTTTGGTTGCTGCAAACCTTTGACTGTTTTCCAGAGTCCTTGCAAAGTTGGTTCTGACAATGTCATATTGTTTTTTGATCTTTCTATGGGGTAATGAGAGCTTGGAACTGCCTACTGTCCCATTTTGCTCTCGTCATTGTGGGGTGAATTTTTTTGTCACTTGAAATGTTTTCTCATTTTCCGTAGTTCTTAAAAAAGCTTTGAAATGGATGCAGACTACTTTTATTTTTATCTGTTTATTGTGAAGACAGGGTTGGAGGTTGGGGTGGCTTACATGATTCTTAGTTCAAGAGCACCATGTTTTGATAGTGAGATGGAGTGTACCTTCCTTAATGGATGACTTTTTCTTTTAGCACCGTGGGGAGAGGTTGTGTGTGCTCTGATTTGTTTGGTTTGGATTTTGATTGTTCTTTGTCTTACGAGACCCTAAATTTCTTCCTCTAGTTTTATTATTTCCCTTCACCACCCACTCTCTAAATGATACTTCCTTGTCCTTTTACCTTCTTCTCCCTCAGAAATGATGCTTTTTTTGTGACTGCCACCTTGGGTCCCACACACATTTCCTATAGCTGGTGCTCTGTTATATCTAGCCAGTTTGTGTTTTCATACTTTTGTTAGGTTTTTCTCTTTCTGAGCCTGATTTCAGCTCACCCTTAGCCTCTCCACTCTCTCCTTCTGTTCTATTTACTGTTTTGTCAGACCTTCCTCACACTCTAGGTAGTTAGAAATTTGTAGTAGTCTCTATTTTCTGTTGTAAGTTATATTGAAGGTATAGGTTATCTGTGGTTTTACATGTTCTTCATGTTGATCTGTATTTTTTTGGAGGATATGGAAATATTTGGATTTATACAGATGTAATTAGTCTGGATTACCTAGAAGTGCCTTATTTTTTTATTTAAAAAA